GACTCGTAACTGGAAAAACCGAATGAAAAAATAATGTTAACAACAAATACTTTTTCACACCCGACCCAGTTCTGCGGAATAAGAATCAACGTTGAATTTAAGCAAGCGATTGAGCCTATTGGAGTAAAGTGCCATGCAGATTTAAATTTTTCCCACTTCTGACGAATGCAGCTATCGATTTTTTTTACATGCAAGCATGTTAGTTAACATTCGTGTCAATCAGCTGTTGGCTCTCACGCTGGCCAATAGAATCTTCCTGCCTATTCGGGGCAGCCAGCTATTGGCTCTCACTCTGGCCAGTACAAAATGGCTGCAAACTACATGAAAACTGCCGTAGAAGCATGAAAAAATCGATTATTTCCACTATCGATGGGAGTTGGAAAATGCAAGGTCGGCCTTGGCCTTCCCGCTAACTTGGAGCATGTGCATGTAAATTTTGGTTCAAATCCGTCGAAAATTGCGGCCGTATGGTCAGTGGTAATGTTCATAATGGTCAATGGTTATATTCATATTTTAGGCTAATTGTAATGGTTAATTGTTATCTGTTTCCATAGACGGAAACATTTGGCATTAACTGACCAAAAAGTTAGCATTACTTTTGTTTGAAATTTAGAGAATCTTTTTCTTCAAGCAGTTTTTCATGAAAATAGACTTCTGAGGATTTTTTTTTAATCATTTCACCCCAAGAAGGTCTATAAAGTCACTAAGAAACAAGGGGGTTACTGCGTGTGAGAGAATATGAGAAAAAGAAAACACTATTAAGGAGAAAGAACAATAAAAGAAGAGAAATTGAGAAGACAGAAGATATCGATTGACATTACATTTAAACTTTTGAAGACCGAAGTTGACTGGGATGCAAGACCTCGGAAAAGAGTTTCACAAGCGAGGTAAAAGACTGTTAGTATCATACTTAGATTAGATCTAGAAGTTTCAACTGCAAAATGATGAGACCTTAACTCGAGTCTAGTAGCTCGCTTAAATTCATGAAGTCTAAGCACCAAAGAAGAAAGTTCATCAGAACGGTTGACATGAAAATATTTATTGAAAAGTAACATTACATGTTATAGTTCTTGCTAGTATTGATGGTGTTTCCTTCCTAACTTTTTGTTTAAAGTAGTGTAGAACGTCATATTATGATCTCATTATTTTCCCTTCTAGTTACATGTGCTATACATTTTAGTTGTTCCTGATTTTGAAAGTCTTCAATGTTGTGGCTTTGTCATTTGATAAAGTAATTGTATTCTGTAGCTCCGGTTTATAAGATCTAATGAAGGATTATCTTTTTTAATACCTACAGGATTAGCTATTTCTAATCATTAACCCGAGAAAAATGGTTGTACAAAGAGGATAATTTAGACATTTCTGAGTGAATTGAACGTCATGCATGACATATAAGAGTCTTGAACATAACTCAAGTTCTGAGATTAATACTTTGACGTGTTGGAGGAAACTACCCCTGGCGTAGATTATTTATATTCAATTCCCTTATATCCTATACATAATATTTGACAAAATAGAAAGAAAAATACATCAGATATTAAATATAAAATTAATTGTAAAATATCTATCTATCTATCTATCTATCTATCTATCTATATATATATATATATATATATATATAGATAGATAGATAGATAGATAGATAGATAGATATAATATTAGTGGTAAATATACACATACACATGCAAAATATATAAATATATATACATACATGAATACACATACATATATATTTTATATAAAAAAATTCCAAGAGGACAGAATCCAGGACAGAACTCAATGTCCAGGACAGAGTAAGGATATAATAAAAAGGCTTAAATACTAATATTCCATGGTCATAATTTATTCCATTGGAATCAAATACGATCAATTCATCAGACCTACAAATTCAAAAGAAAAGAGTGTTTTTTTCTGTTTTCTTTTGAATTTGTAGGTCTGATGAATTGGATCGTATTTATGATTCCAATGGAAATAAATTATTATGGAATATTTGTGTTTAAGCCTTTTTATTATATACATATATATATATATATATATATATATATATATATATATATATATATATATATATATATGTTAAAATAATGAGAAAGAACAGTAAGATTTCTAATTCTGTGTTCTTGTTAATTATTTTTATTTTAAAAACAGTGCTCAATACAGTTCAGTAGAGCTCAAATATTATAAATTTACTAATTTAAAAATATGGTTTCATCGCTACACAGGAAATATCATGTTTGAAAAACAGAAAATAAACCTTTAATTTAATTATATAATTAAATTTTAAATTTTTATCTGTGATTCATTTTCAAGCGATTTCAAAAATCGCTTGAAAATGAATTTTCTTAATGAATATATAGTTTAATTAATATTTGTTTATTATCTGTAAAAAAAGAGACAATTTTTAAACATATTATCTTAGAGGTTCATTTACTGTTAAATGTTGTGCAATAGAACTTGAATCCGTCATGTGTAAAGTAAGCCTTCTTGATAGTCGTCATGAAACCAATATATATATTTATGTACGAGAGAGTGGAAGAAGGGAATGTCCTCAAAATTATGAAGTAAGCCGACAAAAAAAGGGGATTCACCTAGTTCTCCTGCTTCGCCGTGCCCCGCGCCGGTTTGGGCGAATGTCAACAAATACAAGACAGCAGAGAGTTCGTTCCAGCCACCGGACGCGAGACATCCAACGTGATTATCTGCCGGCGGAAAGAACCTCTAACTTCAGCCTTGTGCTGACCTTTACCAAAACAGAAAAACAAACTTTGCCAAGTCAACAGCAATATCACTTCCGATTTAGACGAGGGTTGGGCTGATAATTGCATGCGTACTCTGATATAACCAATCATTGTAAGAAGGACAGATATAAAAACAGTATTTACATTTTGTTCAATTTATTCGAGTGTTATTTTTTTTTTCATGGTACGTCTTCGCCCTGCTTGAATCAGCCTAAGACGAAGATACATTCGATGATTCGATCTTGGCGTCCTTATGATCAAACTTAAATCGCAACGTGGGATAGGGCAGGTCTGTGTTGAAAATCTTGGACGACCGGAAAGGGTTTTGGGCGATAAGTAAACACAAAGGTCAATACCGAATGGCGAGAGCCTGTTTCATGCTTGAGCACAATCTTGATGCACTCAAGACGGTCGCCACTCAGTGTTGATCTCATTGTCCACTTTTATATATGACATTGGTTAACAGGCCGGGCAATTTGATGTCCGGACCACCTTGATAGACATTTTTAAAGTGGGTGTAATTCGTTTAATAATGTTTTTTTTTTCTTAATGAATATATAGTTTAATTAAGATTTTTTGATTATCTGTAAAAAAGAGACAATTTTTAAAAATCTTATCTTAGGGGTTCATTTACTGTTGCGCAGCACTATATATATATATATATATATATATATATATATATATATATATATATATATATCCATGAATAATAACATTACTTTAGTCCGATGAAGTTTTTTTTCAATGACGAAACTTGTTACATAGAGATTCCCACTTTGACATTCAATTACTAATATATATATATATATATATATATATATATATATATATATTAATCAGGTGAAAATTCTAATATATATATATATATATATATATATATATATATATGGTTATATATATATATATATATAATTATATATATATTTCAACAACTGCAACAAATAATTAACTAAAAGGTTATTTCCTCGTGGCATATGAGTTCACATAAGATGGGTGTGTGTTCATATCAAAGGGGATAGATGTAGGAAAATTATTTATCGGAAACTTTGGGAATAAAATGAACCGAAACAAGGGTTAAAATAAATAATATATATATATATATATATATATATATATATATATATAGAGAGAGAGAGAGAGAGAGAGTGATGAGTGAGTCCTTTGGTATTATGCATAGCAAAAATTCGTTAATAAGGCGGTTATTGGTAGCAATCTGGAGAAATGTCTGTTTGTGGTCGTTTAGAATTAAGAACATGATAAGGCTGCTAGCTGAGTAGAGACCAGAACGCTATCAGGAGGGGATGAAATTAAAGAATGCAGCCTTTACATGACATGTGAAGAAACAGTCATCGGCTACTGGGCCGAAAAAACACAGTAGATTGACTCTGACCTAATTTCTCAAATTACTACTACCCCAATCATGGTCTTATTTTTTTAACTTTTGAGTCATTTCGTTTTATTTGAAGTTTCAGATAAAAAGATTATCCTACATCTATCCACTAGCAATGTTCAGATGAACACATACTTGACACACTATCATGGTGGCATATACCGGGTGTAACAGCAAAATTGTCCAAATCTTAGATTAAGCTTTGAATCATTGTATCTTAGAAATGATTAAATGTATTTTATTGGAATCCTCCGAGGTTTTTATAACACTATTGAACTCTACTTTGAACAATAAGAATGTATTTAGCTCTAAGTTGAAACGATGATCCCTCTTGCTGTTGTGACCTCCTGATCCAGTTTTCCTTTCTACTTTTCCTTCTTTTTTAAACTTATTCACCGTTCTCTTGATGGTTTTTGAATGGACTTTGAAGATGGAAGCCAGAGTATGAATGTTGGTACGATTACTGAAGGCTTGAATGATCTTTTTTTTCTCTCACCATTGCCCAATTGAGAAGACATAGTGGGGCTGACACAAAATAATTTTAACCTATTCTCTTTCTAGCTGAATAACTCAAGGGGATTTTCAGTGGTTCTTACGAAAAATGTTGTCAAGATGGCTAAACGTCTTCTCTGAAAACCTGGAAAAAAGAAACTCAGTTTAGTGGTTGTTTTTTTTTTTTTAGATATTAAACATGTTGCTCCATGCTTTTACACGATTTAGACAGTTTTGCTGTTAGGCCCGGTATATATACTAAAAATACATATACATTTGTTCCACACAGTTCGGTTTCTATGCTGAGTTTCATGCGCGTAGCCATAGTTTCGTACATATTAAAAACTGTCTGTTGCCATGAGAGAATAGATTTTTAGTCATTATATATTGCTATTATTATTGTTTCCCCCCCCTTCATCTTCGTTTTCTTCATTCTCTCTCCTTTTGAGAGAGAAAGAGAGTCTCAGAATATAGATAGAAAGAGAGAGAGAGAGAGAGAGAGAGAGAGAGGGGAAAAAGAGAGAGATAGTTTCAAGAGAGAAGGAGAAATAGAGCCTCAGAAGTGAAAGAGAGAATGAGAAAGAAAGAGGGAGAGAATATCAGCAGACGGAAAGAAAGAGAGAAGGAGTAAAAAAAGGGGTTTCAGGAGAGAAGAAGAGTGACTTAAATGAGAGAGAGAATTTCAGAAGATAGAGAAAGAGCGAAAGACAAAGAAAAGAGGAGAAAGAGAGAGGAAGTGAGTGTTTCAGAAGACTCAGCGATAGAGAGAGACAAGGAGAGGGGGAGAGAGATTCAGAAGATAGAGAGAAACAGAGAGGGGAGAGCCTCAGAAAATAGATAGATATAGAGAGAGATAGAGAGAGAAATAATGAGTTTCAGGATAGAGAGTTTTAGAAGAGAGCGTGTTTTAGATGAAAGAGAAAGAAAGATAGACAAAGAGAAAGAGAGTGGGAAAGAGAGTCTCTCTCTTCTGAGAAAGAGAAAGAGAGAGGAAGAGAAAGTCTCACAGAGAGAGTGCGAAAGAGAAAGATAAAGGGTGAGAGAGGCAGTCTCATAAAGAGACTGTTGGTTCTTAATTTGTGAGGCCTTCACGATTGGATACATTATAAAACTACATTTTCACAGAAAATTACGGCGTATTTTTTTCCAATAATGGCTGAAACAGGCTGGATGATAAACACGAGCAAAGACAATTTCTGAGGTGGCCGGAAATTACAGCAATGACTCCTTTTTACAAAAAGCAAACTTAATGACAAAAAAAATTCCATATTTATTTTCATCGGCATACTTCTAATTATATTGGATAATAAATGATTTTCTGGCTTGAAGACTGAAATTACAAAACATGTTTACTCGTCAGGCTAACATGTAACGACACTTCAAAGAATTATGAACAAGAGAGAAAGATGTTATGCGGAAAATTGATGAAAAGCATTGGGTTAACGTTAAAAAAATCTTGTCATTTGTTTTGCTGTAACTTGTTTGATTATAAAAAAAATAAATTTGTTTTTTTTCTTATATAAAGCTTTTAGATGCTAATGGAGCTTTTCCAAGCGTAGTTTAGATGTTGCACAAAGCCGAAAGTGTCGAACTCACTAGTCAGTTTTAATGGATCTAGTGCAACAAGCTTGCTTAACCATTACGTCATGTCGAGGTACCGAAAATGATTTTTAAGCGTAGGGGTGGTACAAGGCCGAAAGTGAGGAGCACTCAGTGAGGATCGAATTCACCATTCAGTCGTAATTGATCTAGCGCTACAAGCTTGCTAACCATTACACTACATCGATATGCTCCTTTTTGCTAAGCGTAGCTTAGATGTGGCACAAGGCCGAAGTTATGGAGGACCCAGTGAATATCGAACTCACTACGCAATCGTAATTGATCTTGCAAGACAAGCTTGTTAACGATTACGTCATGTCGAAGTGCTTCTCTTTCTCTACAGTGATTGACCAAACGTAGATTAGATCTGACACAAGGCTAAAAGTAACGAGCTCCCATTGATTATCGAATTCCCTACTCAGTCGTAATTGATCTTGTGCGACAAGCTTGCTAACCATTACATACACCATATCGGAGTGCTCAGTGTTTTAGGTGCTAATGCTTCGGGAAAAAAAAATGAAAATGAAGTTTTCTGACTTATTTTAAACCTTAACGGCAATCATTTTATGCAAATGCTGCAGACCAGCTCAATAGTATTGTTATAAAATGAGATAAAGAACACGAATTTATTCTTTTGTTTTGTTCTCGTTTCCACCAAATAGTTTGGGGTTTCAGACTCTTGTGACACCCCCGCTCGTGGGTGTTTATGATTCTATTCAGCTGAATATGATTGTAAAGTCAGTTTTTTTTTTTAATCATTTCACTCCAAGCAAGGCTGGAGTGCCACTAGCACGCAAGGGGTTGCAAAGTGTGAGAGAAAGAGTAAAGAGGAGTGTATGGGAAAAGGATAAAGGGAAGGACGGGGAATTAGATCAAGGCATCAGAAGATGTCGATTGACATTACATTTGAATATTTGAAAACTATAACTGACAGGGAAGGAAAGTTCCACAGACGGGAAGTGCGAGAAATGAAGTTATTGGAGTAGAAGAGACGGCCACATTTAACCGTTTAAGCCATTCTTCTCTAGCCTGTCTGCAAATGTTTCTTATTTCTTTGTGTCGTGTTCTATATTCTCTTCCCTGTTTTGGCATTTTTATCTAATTTCCATCATGTCAAGAATTCCATCTATTATCAATTCATTTTTTTTCTTCGTCTATTTTCCTTTGGGATGATGTCGATTGCTGATATTATCAGTATTGCCACAAGAATACAAGGGGTTACAGAGAGTGGGAGCAAGGGTAAAGAAACGTGATTGAGGAAAGGATAAAGAGAAGGACGGGGAATTAAATCAAGGCATCAGAAGATTTCGATTGACATTACATTTGAATATTTGAAAATTATAGCTATCAGGGAAGCAAGTAAGAAGAAGAGAATTCTACTATCGGGAATTGCGACAGAAGAAGCTGTTGAAGTAGGAGGCGATTAAATTTAACTGTTTCGACAGTGAAAGAGTGGGACCGAGATGTCAGCCTAGTAGCTCGCTTAAATTCATGCAGTTGGGACACCAGTGAAAATAGCTCGTCAGATCAGTTGCCGTGAAAATATTTGTAGAAAAGACAGAGGGAAGCCACATCATGTCACTGAGAAAGTGACTGGAGTCGAGATGCCAGGTCAGGTTCTATCACATTGCATACCTGTCTTTGGATTTTGTCGAGAACCACGAGATAAAAAGACGGGTCACCAGACCATATATGGCAACAGTATTCAATGTAAGGACGATTTATGACCTAATCTTTCTTCTTTATCATCATCATCCTCCTCCTCATCACCACTCTTCTCCTGTTCCCCCGCCTCCTCCTTTTCATCATTATCAGCAGGGAAGATTCAGAATATCAGCTATTTCAATTTGAAATTTAAGATAATTTAATTCAATTTTACTTTGGAATAAAGGTTTAAACTGATTTCAGATCCCACTCATGACCCATATTATTTTGAAGTGAATTAAACGGCGACAGGTAAAATCTTATATCGGGAAAGCACTGAAGATCTTTGCATCTTCTTCTCTCTCCTTACTTCTCCACACCCACTTTCTCCTCCTCCTTCTACACCAGTGGTTCCCAACTGATTTGTGGCCATGTCCCACTTTGGTATTTCTAAAATTCTGGTGCCCCCACCCCCGGTAATATTTAATTCTTATATATTCAAACATTTACTAAAATTCACGTGAAGGAAGCTTAAAATGCCATTAACTTGGTTTCTAAAGAAACTTTCAAAGACCATGGCGTCCATGAAAAAAAAAAAACAGTTAAATATAAATAGTTTCAAAACATATAATCAGTTATGTGCCATGCGTGATACATGCGTAGGCGATCATGTATCTTTCGATACATGACTGACCAGGTAGATTTTTTCCCGCAGTAGGTTGCCATTTCTTTCTGCGGTAAACTAGTTGCCATCCAAGGCAATAAAACCCGATCTGTCCTTTTATTTACCCATAGTCAGTCAGTTATGTGCCATGCGTGATACATGTGTAGGCGATCATGTATCTTTCGATACATAACTGACCAGGTAGATTTTTTTCTCGCAGTAGGTTGCCATTTCTTTCTGCGGTAGACCAGTTGCCATCCAAGGCTATAGAACCGGGTCCGTTCTGCTATTTACCCAAAGATGGAGGGAGAAGAAGAGGATCTATACCTTTTCCAAGGGTATTAGCACATGTGAATGTAATGGATTCGACATATAAACATAAAATAGTGAACAGAAAAGAAGAAATATAAAATATTTAAATGAAAGCTTATTCTGTAATATATTTTGATCATTTTAATCATGAAATAATAATGCAAAATGAAATTTGAGCTCACTAGAAAACAATTCACTGTTAATAATTCATTTTCGAATTGGCCCCTTATTCTGTTGGTATAGTAAACCGAAGGGTGCACATCCTACACATGTCCCAGCAAAATATTACCATGCTCCACCAAAGGGGTATGCGGCCCACGTTGGGAATCATTGTTCTACAACTTCTCTTCCTACTGATCATTACTATCACTACCCTCCTCTTCATCATCATCATCCTCATCATCACAAGCTTCCTAATTCTTCTCCTCCTCCTCCTCCTCCTCCTCATTCTGATCCACCTTCTCCCTCTATTCACCATCACTGTCATTAGTTTTCTCCTCATACTACTCCTTATCATCATCAATATATTCATCACCCTCATTCACCTATCCGTTCTGATCTTCATCATTATCGTCATCTCCCTCCCCCTCCTCCACTCAGCCTACTCCTCTTCATCATCTTCCTAACCAGTTTTCTCCTCTTTCTCAGCGTCTTCCTCATCTTGTGATCATCATCGTCATCATCTTTTCTCCTCGTTATCCTCCTACTTCGCCTCATCTTCCTCATTATCGTCATCCTCTACCCCCTCCTCCTCATCATCATCACCGTCCAGACTTCTCATCATTTTCCGCCTCCTCCTCATCTTCATTGGGGTCATAATCATCATCTTTCCTCTTTATCATCATCCTCCTCCTCATCACCACTCTTCTCCTGTTCCCCCGCCTCCTCCTTTTCACCATTATCACCAGCGTCTTTCTCTTCATCATTATCCTAATACGTCTTCTCCCCTTCCTCACCATCGCCATAACAATTCTTCTTCTACTCATCATAAACCTATTCATCCTACTCATCAGTCGTCTTCCCTTCTCCCTCCTCCTCTTCCTTATTATCATTATGATCATCCTCCTTCTTCACCTCATCATGACCCACACCCTCAGCATTTTCATCATCGTCATCCTCATCATCATAATTTCATATCGTCATCCTCCCCATTCTTATCATCACCTGACTCATTACTATCATCGTCAACATTCTCCTCTTCCTCCTTCTCCTCCTCCTTCTCCTCCACATCATCGTCATCATCACATTCATCATCATGCACAACAAGATTCTTCTGAAACACATAAAGACGCAGTTAGGACATTGATTCCTGATACGAGGAAATTACAGGAAATAAATAATTAGCCTGTCCTGTTCTTGTGTCTGTTTCTTCCATATTTCAAGTTTTAGTTTTGGGATTGTTTTCCTGAATCATTGCCCGACCATTATTAGAACAGTTTATATGAAAACGGCAACAGAAACTGGAATAATCTGCTGAAATTTCAAAGACGGAAACGTCGAGAAGAAATGACTGCTTGATAGCATCAACACCTAACACTTTCTCTCTTAATCCTCAACAACAGCAGCAATGCATTCACTAATATCATTGGCTTAACAAAGGAGATTACCTATTGATATCATTGGCTTAACAAAAGAGAGTACGTGTTAATATCATTGGCTTAACAAAGGAGATTACATATTGATATCATTGGCTTAACAAAAGAGAGTACGTGTTAATATCATTGGCTTAAGATTACCTGTTAAGATCATTGGCTTAACAAAAAGATTACTTGTTAAGATCATTGGCTTAAATGAGATTGTCTATTAATATAATTGGCTTAATAAATGAGATTACCTGTTAATATCATTGGCTTAACAAAATAGATTACCTATTAATATCATTTGCTTATGGTTCGTGTTAATAATTGATTAACAATGGTTAAGATCATTGGCTTAACAAAAAAGACGTGTTAATATCATTGTTAAGATCATTGGCTTAACAAATAAGATCAGCTTAACAAATGAGATTGTCTATTAATATAATTGGCTTAATAAAAGAAATTACCTGTTAAATCAGCTTAACAAAATAGATTACCTATTAATATCATTTGCTTAACAAAAGAGAGTACGTGTTAATATCATAGGCTTAAGAAGATTACCTGTTAAGATCATTGACTTAACAAAAAGATTACTTGTTAAGATCATTGGCTTAAGAAAGAGATTGCCTTTTAATATAATTGGCTAAATTAAAGAGATTACTTCTTAATATCATTGGTTTAACAAATAGATTATCTATTACCAATGGAAACAACATTTTAATATGAATATTAATCATTGTTATGATTTAAATTCCATAAGAGAGGAAGAGTTGGCCATCTTTATAAGATCTTTTATAAAAAATGTAAATAAAATTTTGTACTTAAATAGAAAATAATGAAATAAAAATTAAAAAAATAATTTGAAGTAAGATAAATTTTGAGTATTTTACGCACAAATCTAAGAAATTTAAACGCTGAAAATCATTTGATCCTGAAAATTGATTTTTGAAATGCTTAAAAAAAAGAAGAAAAACAGTTACATTACAATGTCCCTGGATCCATTTGAGTTTCTGGATCCATTTCAATACAGTTTCATTTCAGCACCTCTTGTTCCAGGCATTATAAAATACTTCCGGATCCAGTTATCTTGCGCCATTTGTTGTGCTGTTTACATTACAATGTCTCTGAATACAGATATATTAAAATACCTCTTGTCCCAGCTATGTTAAAATATCCCTGGATCCAGTTAAATAACAAAATCTCTTCTTGTTATCATACAATATCTCTTCTGTCATTTTATTATATTACAATATCTCTTGTTCCAATTATCTCGAAAATCTCTTGTATCATATTTATTAAAATATGTCCAGATATTTAGATCCAGTTATCTTACAAAATCCCATCTTCCTGCTATCTTTCAATATTTCTGAATCCAACTATCTGGTAATATTTCTGGATCCAGATATCTTACAATATCTCTGGATATAATCTCACGATATCTATAAATACAAATGTCTTTAAAAGAATCCATGGATCCAGTTATATTACAATATCTCTTGATCCAGATACTTTTCAGTATCTCTTGTTCCAGTTACCATATAATATTTCTGGATCCAGTTACCTTACGTCATCTGTTGTCCCATTTACATTACAATATTTCTGGTACAGATGCAGATATCTTACAATATCTCTTGTCCTAGTTATTTTAAAATATCTCTGGATTTAGTTATTTCAATATGTCTTCTGCCATTTATATTACAATATCTCTTGTTCCAGTTATCTCATAATGTATCTGGATCCAATTATCTTACAACATCTCTTATTTCAGTTACCTTACAATATTTCTGGATCCAGTTATCTTATAATATCTCTTGTTCCGGTCCCCTTATAAAATCTGTGGATAGTTTATCTTACAAAATCTTTTGTTCCCGCTATCTTAAAATATCTATACATATATTTTAGAATATATTGTTCCTGTGACCTCGCAATATCTCTGGATCCAGTTATCTTAGAAAATCTGTTGTTTCAGTTATCTCAAAATGTTTATGGATCAAGCTATCTTACAGTATGCCTGGAATCAGTTATCTTACAAAATCTCTTGTACAATTTAACTTACAATATTTCTGGATCCAGCCATTCCAGTCGTCATATAATATTTCTGGATCCAGTTATCTTACAAAATCTCTTGTTGCAGTTATCTTACAATATTTATGGATCCAACCATCTTAAAGCATGTCTGGATTAGGATTTTTTACAATATTTCTAGATAGTTATCTTTCAATATTTCTGGTTCCAGTTACCTTACAATAACTATAGATCCAATGTCTTACAATGTCTCTTCTCCCAGACATCATATAATATCCCTGGATCCAGTTATCTTATAACATAACTTATTCGTGTCATCTTACAATATCTCTGGATTCAATTACATCGATCCAATATCTTACAATATCTCTTCTCCCAGTCTCCATATAAAATATCTTTTGATCCAGTTATCTTACAGCATAACTTATTCATGTCATCTTACAATATCTCTGGATCCAGTTAACTTACAATATTTTTGGATCTAGTTACTTGACGAAGAGAGAGAATGAGAGCGAGAGAGAGAACGAGAGAGCGAGAGAGCGAGAAGGAGACAAAGAATGAGAGAGCGAGAAACAGAGCGATAGGGAGAGAGAATGAGAGAAGGAGAGATAAAAAGTGAGAGCGAGAGGGAGAGAGATATTGTGAGAGAGAATGAGAGAGCGAAAAGGAGAGAGAATGAGAGAGCGGGAAGGAGAGAGAATGAGAGAGAACGAGAGAGAGAGAATGACAGAGCGAGAAAGAGAGAGAGAAAATGATAGAGCAAGAAGGGGAAAGAGAATGAGAACGAGAGAGAGAGAGAGAGAGAGAGAGAGAGGGAGGGAAAGAGAGAAAGAGAAAAGAATAACGTGGAATGAGCTAACCGGTTATCGCTCCTCACACCTCTAAACTCGATCGAAGTAAATAAACAAAATTACTGTGCACATCGATCAGAAAGGAACTTGCCATATGTTTCAGTAATATAATAGACTTCTGGTGTCATATAGGCATATAAATATGGTTCTCCAGCCTGCAGTTCCTTTCCCACAACGAAATTTTGAAAGCCTCTCGCTACTCCATCGCTGTTTCTATTTGGTTGGTGCATAATTATCAGGCGTTTTTATAGTCGAGTTATTTGTTAATAAAAATTGCTTTGTTTCATTTTTTTTTAAATAAATATATTATTTTATTTTCAGGTTATAAAAATGCGTATCGATAATCATATTTTAAAATGTTATTGAATTATGTTCCTTTTTTCATAATAAATATTGTTTAAAAAACGCCTGATAATTATGCACCAACCCAATATGAAAAGTGATCAAACGAACTACATTCATTAGTTCCACCAGTTCTAATATTCGTAGCTGAGACCCACCGTGCCAGGCACATTGTAGCGAACCACCTTCATTCCCATCGTATTCCATTAATGAGATGTAAGTTCCACTCAAACAGCTACTTCCAACGAAACGATACTTTGTGGAACCGACTCCCGCGGGGATGCTTCCGCGATCACTAAATACCTAACCTGTTCAAATATAGGGTTAACCGTTATCTTCTCAACATGTTTTTAATCATATCACTCCCATGCAAGTCAGTAAAGCCACTAAGACGCAAGGGGTTAGTGAGTGTGAAAGAATAAGAAAAAAAGAGAAACATTATTAAGGAGCGAGAACAATAGAAGAGGAACCAAGAAGTAGATAACGATTGGCATTGCATTCAAATTTTTGAAGATCAAAGTTGGTTGGAAAGTATGAAGTATGCGAGAAGTGAGAGAAAATAAACTGAAAGGAGAGAACTTACGGTTGCATTTAGCGAATTGAGCTGTGAATTGATGAGAGATAGTTATCCACCTAATACTGTGCTTAAATTCATAAAGTCTATGTACCAGGGCAAAGAGTTCATCAGAACAGTTAACATGACACTATTTATAGAAAAGGCACAAGGAAGTAATTTTACGCCGGTGGGAAAGTGACTGAAGCCGAGATACCAGGTCAGGACCAATAATATTGCCGATTCTTCTTTGAACTTTATTCTTCTTTAAATTTGATATCCTCGTAAACTGTACCTCTTACTCTGTAGCTCTCTACCTCGAGTGGTTTTGGGGCCTTATACAGGGTGAATATGATTGTAAAAAAGTATTGAAATGAGTATTTTTTCATAACAGACCACATTAAGCACACACAGCCAATCATTCTGTTTACACAAGGAAAACTGTTTTGAGTTAATAAAAACAGTTTCCATGACTTTTAGATGGATGCTAGAATGAGATCTGCACAAGATAAAGAATATGTCCACACGAAAGAATGCAACCCATTTGCGATTTTATTTTCAGAAGATATTGCAGACCCGACACAAGTATTTCTCTCTCACTCGCGTTTTTCATTTCTTTTCTGTTTTTTATTTTCGTCACAGCTACTGGTACTTTTTGTTTTTCTTTTTTTTCATTAAAAAAAAAAAAAAATAGTGTCTGCTTTATCGCTGTAATAAAATGTTGCACCAAATAGTAAGATTTTCAAGCTAATTACTGTTTATCACCAACAGCTTCTTCAGTAGACTCTTGAGTATCAGAATATTAATTAATTATAACTGCGTCGAACCTCGTGAGCTAGCGTTACAGAACCACAAATAAAGAATCGTGCCATTCAAAATCTAACATTCGTTCAAGCATTGAATATTGCTGTCACATCTGCCCTGTTGCTTCTACTATGTATTTAGAGTTTCTTGATAAAATACAAAGAAGAATCTGCAATATTTTCGGTCCTGATCTGGCATCTCGGCTTCAGCTACATTCCCACCGTCTATTATGTGTATAATAGAATGACAAAATAAAAAAAATATGTGTAACGCGTATATATATGTATGTAAGTAAGTATGCATGTATATATATATATATATATATATATTGGCCTGGGTAAGACGATAAACTAGATCCAACAACAAGGCCTCTGATCAGGAGGTTTTGAGGAAGCATGGAACAGCATCTTAATTGCTGGTGTTCCCAGGTCCACCCTGACCCGGGGTGGTAGCACCTGTTAGGGTCCCAGCTATGGGCAAATAGTGAACTCACCGGGGTAGATGGGGACTCCTTAGCCACTGTTGTGGCAATCCGTCTAGGAGAAGGAAAACTCCAAATATCAAACCTGAGTGTTTGGTATGGACCAATCGTCTCATTTTATGTGCCACTGAAAAACTATACCACACGCGAAAAGTGGAATGAGTGTAGTGCAAGCTCAATTCACTATAAATAAACTCACGCACAGGTACCTCCTTGACCATTTTTCGTGTTTTTCCGTTTTTTTTTTTGCTTTTTGTTTTTTTTGTTATGCTTTCTTACGAAGCATCACTTAACCTAACCTATGTCCCAAGTCCACTGGCGATATATGTTTTGGCGACGCATACAGGTTTAACAAACTGGGAGTATGTAGCTCGAACGGTGCACAGTGGCGGCTCTTAACTTATCTTAACATCGCTTCAATTGTCTAATAGAGGCAAAAGGCATGATTCGGTGGAGTTAAGGGTGTCAAATCAGCCTTTCTAGGAGAGCACTGCTTGCTTCGTGCGGGGATTAGAAAAGGTATCCCAAACAAATGCTTTGCCTCATAATCTGGCCAGTTGCCACGGCTGGCGGATTGTTCATTTAGTGGTAACAAAATTAAAGACAAAAACTCGGCATTATCAAAAAATCACAAACATACAAATCGGTTTTCCACCTCCGTTGGCATGAAAGTTGCATGCTGGAATGTACGAACATTACTTGACAATGAGCTGTCTGAAAGGCCGCATTGCAGAACTGCTCTGTTGGCCAGGGAGCTTTCTCTTTATGACATAGACATTGCTGGTCTCTCTGAGACACGTCTTGCTGATGATGGTCAGCTCACAGAGACAAGCTCTTGTTATACTTTCTTTTGGAAGGGGAAACCTGCTGATGAAGCGAGAAAACATGGTGTAGGTTTTGCCATCAAATCCTCCCTATTAAAAAACTTGCAGGAACTTCCTTTTGGTAAATCAGAACGCATTATTTCTATACGCCTTCCTCTGCGACAAAAAAGTTTTGTCACAATCGTGTCGGTTTATGACCCAACCATGAACTCCCCTGAAACAAACATACTCTCTTTTTATGATGAGCTAAGGCAACTCTTTTTCAATATCCCTGAGGGTGATAAGATCATTCTACTTGGCGATTTCAATGCGAGAGTGGGGAGGGATTCTCAAACTTGGAAATGCTTAGGTTCACATGGAGTGGGAAATGCAAACAGCAATGGCCTTCAGCTCTTGCAGTTTTGCAACGAGCACGATCTTGTGATTGGAAACACGTAGTTTCGTCAGAAAAACAAATACAAAAGCACATGGCAACATCCACGTTCTAAACATTGGCACATGATTGATTATGTTATTGTTCGTCGGCGTGATCTACAGGATCTTCACTATGTCCGAGTTATAAGAGGCACTGAATGTTGGACGGATCATTGCCTGGTAAGAGCCAAAATGAAACTTAGAATCCGCCCCAAAGCACAACATAACACCGCCTCAGGCACAAAAAAAGCAAAAAAGCTTGAGGTCTCGAAATTTTTTCATCTCCCTGAAACAAAGATCATCTTCCAGAATGCACTTACCTCTATTGAACTAGATGAAACAAATTTATAAGAGGATTTCAAAGTGAAAGTGCTTTCAGCGGCTCATGACATTTTAGGAGTTCGGAAAAAGAAGTGCCAAGACTGGTTTGCTGAAAATTATGAGGAAATTGATGCACTTCTTGAAACAAAACGCAATCTTTTCCAGAAAACCTTGTCATCAAGTCTATCTAACCAAGCAAAAATGGAAGCTACAAAAACATACAAGGATTTCCAAAAAGTGGCACAAACATTTATGTGCGAAATCCAAAACCAGTGGTGGCTCAAGAAATCAGAAGAGGCACAACTTGCAGCAAACAGTAAAAACTCGAGATTGTTTTACCAAATAATCAAAGAGCTCTATGGTTCGCAGCAATCAATTTTTGCTCCTCTCAAATCAAAAGACGGTACCATATTGAGACAACCAGAGGATATCAAGAAACGATGGTGTGAACATTATAGCGAACTCCTTAAACGCCATCCAGTCGTTGATGAGTCTGTACTAGATCTCATTAAGCAACACGGGCCAATTATGGCTCTTGATGAAGTACCTTCCCTTCTAGAGGTGAGATAGAAGTTTCTGTGAGTCAAATGAAAAACAACAAAGCGCCAGGAATGGATGGTATAACAGTAGAGATTCTAAAGAATGGCGGTGAGAGAATGATCGATCTCCTGGAGCAAGTCATCCAAAATGCATGGGGAAGTGAAGTACCTCAGGACTGGAGAGATGCAATACTTGTGTCTTTGTATAAGAAGGGTTCCAGGTCGGACTGCGGCAATTTTAGGGGGAATATCTTTGCTGTCTACTGTTGGAAAGGTTTTTTTTCAAGGATTATTTTAAATAGATTAGTCCACACAATTGTCAATGGAATACTACCAGAATCACAGTGTGGTTTCCGTGCAAGCCGCGGCACTGTGGATATGATTTTCAGTGCTCGGCAATTGCAAAAGAAGTGCAAAGAACAAAATCTTCCGTTCTACCAGTGTTTCATTGACTTATCGAAAGCATTTGACACCGTAAACAGATCAACTCTTTGGAAGATCTTATCAAAGCTGGGCTGCCCTGAGAAATTTGTGGGTCTGATTCGTTCTCTTCATGACGGAATGAAGGCTAGAGTTAGCTTTAATGGCACTCTATCTGAAGAAATACCTATAAACAATGGGGTCAAACAGGGTGACATTTCTTCAACCATGTTATTCAATATCTACTTCGCCATAGTCTTTCTCGTGGCCTTTTATGAAAACCCAAACGGTATTTACATCAAATAT